ACATTTTCTTGCTTTCATATCATTCGTTAGTGCGCACCTAAATTTTTTTCTAGCTAAGGCTCCAATTTTTTTCAAAATACAAGTGGAATAGCTTAAGTTTGATTTTACTATTGGCACACATATTTGCACATCACCTGGAGAATACTTTGTTAGCGGCTGTTATGCCTCACTTGCAAACACTCTTGAAACTGATTTTTTAGATATTTTTACGCTCTCCATAACATCTGCTCGGTTGTTTCAGTGAGCTTTGTGTTTGTGAGATGTGGCCACCGACTAATTAATTGGATGAGCGACTAAATGTAGGAATGAATACTTTTCTGTGGTGGCGACATTTTTAATATAATTTGTGATTTTGTGTTGATTTTAGGTGAACGCCGACCCTCTTTTGCCTCTTCAACAAGGTCAATTTTCTGTCCTCGCTTGAGTCATTCAGAAACCATTAGACCCTCTATCAAAGTTGACCGCATGGTTTCACCCATTCCTTCACCCTTCTTAGCACAACCATCAATTTCTGTCTACGGCACCCTGGATCGAATCTCCCGTACTCATAATCGTGGTAGAACTTTTAACCCAGTCCATAATGACTACGAAAATGGGGACTTTTGTACTTGGAGGTCATCTCAATTTTACCCAGATTTTACAGCAGGTTACCCAAGGGTGCAAAATGAACGGGTGACGGATTTAGGAGCAAGTCGAATCTCACTGTGGAGTCAGAAGACATCAGTAGAACGGCCAGAACCTCAACGATTCAGCAGTCTTAACAGGCATGACGATCGACTAATTCGAAAGTACCTTCAACGCCATTCTTCGATGAGCTCACGGGCTTTATTGCCGGAGACCGAAGGAGGACAAAACTACTTGCAATACAGTCAAAGATAGATGTGTCAAGAGCCTCTTCTTCCTCTTGTTCTCCTGATTGTAAATAAAAGTGGGGATTTCTTTACTGACCTTGGTCAGTGAGTGGTTTGACTCAATCGTTCCTGGTCAAGTTCAGCCTTATTGAAGCCTTTTATGAGGTTGTAAAAATAATCGGCTGTCAAGTTAAAAGGTATGCAAAATGATTGTGCCGCAAATACTCGTTAGGGTCGGTTCAGAAGTCCAGGTACAGTGACCTACAATCCAATCTCCCTTACCCTCTCAAAGGTCCTCTCAGCTTCTCCATTTTACCTATTTAGGCTAACTCATTCATTTATTCAATAATGTTTGGGAATTTTTCCTCAGAATTCTGCTATTGAAATAGAAGCGTGCAAAAAGTGTATCACTAGCCTCTGTGTTAGCCTGTTCTCAAAACCACAAATTATTTGGCACTCATCTTTCAATGTTTAGACCCAGAAATGGCCTTTAACGCTCCTACCTCCTGCTTGCCTCCCGAGTGTCTATCTCACCTGCTGGTTGACTAACTTACTCCAAGACTGATAGCAATCACTATTTATTTGTAAGTTTTGAACAGGTCTTTTGTCTGCCTAATTAAGTAGCTCTGAATGTTCCCAAGGTAAGCGTCTTCCCGCAGCCTGAGTTAGGTACCGCTTCGTGAATTTTTTAAATGTGGTGCACAGATAAGGCCCCAAATAAAACTTCTTTTGACCTAGGAGTATAAGCATGGCTGCAAGCCGCCAAGTGCTATGATAAAATAGTATTCCAAGACAGTCAGAAGTGGCTGTAA